ACTAATTTTATTAAAATTAGTTTTTGAAAGTAACTTCTATAGTTTTTAATACAATAAAATCATTAGCAATCAATATTTTTAAATATATATATATTTAATTGTACTTTATATGAAGATTTACAAAGCAAACTAGCTTCTAATTAAACAATTAATACACATATTGTTTTGTGACATTGGTTGCCAACCCTACAACATGTCAACACTCTCCCCTTCTTGACCTTAGGTTTCCCATTACCAGATTTCCTGTCCCCTCCTGCCTTTTCATCCTTGCCCCTGGGCTGGTGTGCCCATTTAATCTTGTTTTGTTTTATGGGCCTGTCTAATCTTTGACTGAAGAGTACAAAAGATATTCTTTCTAGTGCTTAGAGTTTCATGTTGTTTATTAAGAATCTTGAAACCAGCCCTTTGTGCTTGGCAATCAGTATCCTAATGCTAGCTACCAAGCTCAGTTAGTGGGTGCTGGTAAAGAAAGAAGAGATTACTCCCCTCCTTTTCTTCAATCTTGAGTCCCTGCATTTCAACCCTGATACTATCTCAGGTTTTCAGTTTCAAAAAATGGTCAGTCTATATCTTTATGCATACATCTTTATATCATCTTTTCCTCCCCTTTTTCTTCTCTCATACTCTTCCCCCATCTTTCTCTTACCTCTTTCTTCCTTATCCTACACTTTAATTACATTCTTTTTCTCTCAAACTTTCCTCTATTGTGTCTTTTTACTCCTTTGGTATTCCTGGGCTCTTACGAACACTGTGAGACATTGTTTTAACCCCGATGATGGTTTCATGGGTTGAAGACACCTTACTTAAAGATTAATAACAATAATAGGACAACTTAGAAAAGGGTGAGAATGGTTGCACAACTTGAAGAATGTAATCAATGTCACTGAATTATACATGTAGAAATTGTTGAATTGCTATATGTTTTGCTGTGTATATTCTCAACAACAAAAATTAAAATAAATTAAAAAAATAATAGTTAGGAAATGCATTTTCAGTTGTTGTCTGATACCTCGTACCTGAATGTCCTGTAAGTACCTCGAATTTAATCATGTGTTAAATGCATATTTTTTTTTCTTCATTCTACTCCCTCTGCTGTTTTCTCTTTCTTTAGTTTGTGGCAATCATACAAGTGATAAATCTCTGGTTCGTATTTTTAGTATCTCCCTCTCTTTCACCTACCCCATCAAATTAGTCTTCCCCCACATACTATCACTGTGGTCTCCTAGGTAAGGCCCTTCTCATATAGACGTTATGAGGCCCTACCATCTAGACCTTAGCCATAGTCTTTTAATTGTATCTCTGCTTTCAGTTTTTCTCTCTCCAACATGTCTTTACTCACTGCTTTCAGAGTTGGCTAGTCACTGTCTACTGGATAAAGGTGTCTGAAATGCTCACCAGTAACTGGTAGATGGGTTTGCAGGTCCTGGATTTCTTTCGCTTCAAGTCTGAACCCAGTGTTTTGTAGAACATTTTTCAGGTCACTGACATTAGTCTTCCCTCCTTAATAAAGATAAGAAGAAGTAGAAAATGATGTCACAAAATGCAAAATGCAGGTATCAACCTCTACCTAGAAATGAAAGCACAAGTCAGTATGGGAGTCAGGAACAGAACATGCTCCCATAACTAAACTTCTGGGAGAAGTTCATATGGTGAGAGGTGTAAAGAAAGAGTTAGGCAACTCTGGAAAATTAGGCAAAGGCAACAACCAAACCATGCTACTGGTCAAAAAGTAAGATTTGAAACTTGCTACAGTAACAATAAATTATCTCCTAAATGTAATTGTACATAAAGGAGAATGCTAGTTAATGAGGCAGAATTACTGAAAACCATTGGTGTAGCAGGATTAATGATCAGATATCAGCTCACTATGAAACATGAGGTTTTACAAAGAGCCAATGTATACATTTTAGATGAGTTAAATAATTAAATGTAAAAAATGAATTCATAGAGAAACAAAACAAAATGTTTATGATTATTTACATGCTCTCTAGGTGGTAACAACATACACTAAAGTTTTTAAAGATGTGTTTAGTATAAAAACCAAAACCAAACCCATTAATATATAATTAAATATATAAAAATGGGAAACAGCTGTATATAAAACTATAACAGACAGAAAGTAGATTGGAGTTTGCCTAGATCTGGGAGGGTTGAGGGGAAATAGGGAGTGACTGCTAATGGGTTTGGGGCTTTCTTTTGGTCTCATGAAAATGTTCTAAAATTGATTGTGTTGATGGTTGCACAACTCTGTGAATGTATTAAAAATCATTAAGTTGTACATTTTGAATGAATTATATATGGTATGTGAATTATATCTCATAAGCATGTTGTTAAAAAAACAATATAACAAAATAAAAATGCAAATAACTAACTGAGAAGATATTTACTAAACCTATGCCAATATCTTTATATATTTATAAAGATGTCATTAAAGTGAATAGGAAACATGCTCAGACTCCAAGATGATACTGGACAAAAGACCTGGGCAAATAATTCAAAGATTGAAAGACATGATAGAAAAACATTTTCAACTTCCTTGATGTAACAGTCAGAACAATAATTAGGTCCCATTTTTCATCTATAAAATTAACAAGGATCAAAAAGATTGAAAATAATCTATTGTGGCCAGGATAACGGTAATGGGTACTCTCATTTACTATGTGGTGTTGTTGTTGTGTGCCGTCGAGTAGATTCAACTCATAGCAACCCTATAGGACAAAACAGAACTACTCTATAGGGTTTCCTAGGCTGTAAATCTTCACAGAAACAGATTGCTACCTTCTTTTTTCCATGGAGCTGGTGGTGGGTTTGAACCGTCAACCTTTCGATTAGCAGCCGAGTGCTTAACAACTATGCTACCAGGGCTCCTCCCATTTACTATGTATGGAGGTGTAAATTAATATAATTTTTTATGGAATGCAAATTGAGGTATGCATGAAACATGTTAAAATTTTTTGTCCTTGTAATTCCGGTTGGAGGAATCTTTCCAAAGAAAATGGCTTTAAAGTTAGATCAAAGTTCATGTACAAAGATCACAGATGTATAAGAGGAAATCATCAGAGACTACCTAAATGTTCAACAAGAGAAGAATGATTAAGTTATAACACAACCAGATGATGCAGTCATTAAAAAGGATATTTTCAAGTAATTTCTAAATGACATGGTAAAATTATTATACCAAAAGTTTAGGATTAAATGTAGGATGCATAAATATACAGAAGAATTTAATTAAAAACATACACACATATATAGAAAAAAGAACAGAGGCAACTATAATAAAAAGATAATATTACTTGGGATTATGGATAATTACTTTTTGTTTATGTTACTATAAATATCCAGATTACTCTCAAACACCCAGCACACAGTAAGTACTCAAATATTTTTATTAATAAATGCATAATTTCAAATCCATCACTGAATAAGAGCATCATTTTCAGATTATATAATCAGCATAGAACAATTAGAATAATCTTAAATTTTATTGTCCCTATCGTTTTTCTCACTCACCTCTGAAAGATTTCACAGCATCCACTACATTTTTCTTAAACACCTTTTGATCAGCTGTAAGATAAAATATAATTTATTGTATTTTTGGAGATTCATAAAAATAAAGGTATATACTTACAGAAAGGGATAATTTAGAAATTTATCACAATTTGCCCTCAATGAAATAAAGATATTTAGACTCTATCCACTGGATGGAATACAAGGCTATTGTTAGTGACATGCCCTGTGCTGAAATACACATAGGTCTGTCTTTCTCATTTTCTCTTCTCTAATTTGGTTTCATTTTTTCTTTCTTCACCTTTCCCATCCTTCTCCCTTTTCTTCTTCTTCCAACTTATACTTTAAACCAAAAAACAAAAAAACAAAAAAGAAAAATCAAACTCATTGCCGTCAAGTTGATTCTGACTCATAGCGACCCTATAGGTCAGAACAGAACTTCTCCATAGGGTTTCCAAGGCTGTAATTGTTTGTTTGTTTTTTTGTGCTTTAGCTGAAAGTTTACAGCTCAAGTTAATTTCTCATTAAAAAATTTATACATATATTGTTTTGTGACATTGGTTGCAATCCCCACAATGTGACAGCAGGCTCCCACTTTCCACCCTTGGGTCCCTGTGTCCATTTGTCCAGTTCCTGTCCCTTCCTCCTTCTCGTCTTGTTCTTGAGCAAGAGTTGCCCATTTTGTGTATTTGAGTGAACCAAGAAGCACATTCTTCATGTGTGTAGTTTTTGTTTTATAGGCCCGTCTAATCTTTGTCTGCAAAGTGGGCTTCAGGCATGGTTTCAGTTTTGGGTTAGCTGAGTGTTGGGGGTGGGGGCTGTAGTCTCGGGGGTTCCTCCAGTCTCTGTCAGATCAATAAGTCTAGCCTTTTTCCATGAATTTGAATTCTGTTTTATGTTCTTCTCCCACTCTGTCTGGGGCTCTCTGTTGTGATCCCTGTCAGAGTGGTTGTTGGTGGTAGCCAGATGAGGCTGTTATCTTTACAAAAGTAGACTGCCACATCTTTCTCCTGTGCAGCGGCTGGTGGGTTCGAACCACCGACCTTTCAGTTAGCAGCTGAGCCCTTAACCACTGTGCTACCAAGGTTCCTTATACCTTAGGTGTTAGATTTCTCCCAAGGGGACAAGATAACTTGTTTGTCCTATAATGTGACTTCTGACTGAAGAAATTTGTGTTTCCTAAACCAAAATCTGAATGATAATGGGATTTTAAAAAATGCTAGGATTGGGTCTTTTTAAAAAATATATTTCTAATTGACATAAAATGTTTCAAATATTAGATTTCCTAATACAAAACCCTAAAACCAAACTTCCTTGAGTTTTCTTTAAGAGGGCAGAGACCTGGGGAAACTGACACGGCCTTGTTCTCCCAGGGTTTAGGATAGTGTCATTTACACATCAGATCTTCAATAAATGAATACATTTTTAGACATCATTGAAGTAGAACACACTTAAATGCTTACCAGAAACTGGCAGAGTTTTCAGCAGCTTTTTGTTTTCCTTATCTGTGATCTCTATTCCCATGTTTTTCAAAATGTTTTTCACATCCCCAGTATGAATCTTCTCTCCTTCAGAAAGAGGAAAAAAGTCTCAAGTGAGAATATAAGAATCATGTGCAGGTATGCATCGCTTAATGTCCACAGTATGTTCTGTGAAACAGCACATTATGTGATTTGGACCTTGTGTGAGCATCCGTGTCCACAGGGCGTGGGGCTCCTGAGGGCACTCTGGCCCAGGGGCTGCTGTGCAGTGCGTGGCCCAGGCAGCTTCTGCTGCAGATGCCTCAGGTGAGCACTCGGTTGGGTTCTGCCGCTGTTGCTGCCTTCTTTACTAAGCCAGCAGCAGGAAAGGCCAGCTCTTCTGTGAGAACATGCCCAGGGAGGGAACAGTGCGGGCCAAAGGAGCCGTGGGTGTCCAAGCCAGGGCTGGGGTTTCCAGGGTGCATAGCTTTCCATGTTGCCCTATGGGACCACACTGGACAAAATGCGGGAGCTGAGGGGGACTGAGGTTGGAGTTTGGACCTGGGCCTCTATCGCTGCACACTATGTGGCTTCCAGGCCACGTGCAGCAGCTGGGCAGAAGTGGAGCTTCTCAAGATGGGGTCTGGCGTCCTGGCACTCAGATACTTGAGTGCGGTCATATGCTGCCCGAACAGACGTTAAATGATGTATACCTATAATATTTTTGTATTATGCTAACACTGGTGTTGCTAGTTGCCATCAAGTCAGCTCTGACTCGTGGTGACCTCATGTACAACAGAACGAAACATTGCCTGGTCCTGTGCCATATGCATGATATGATAACATATCATCAATCTATACATATGAAATATCCTTCCCAGCTGTAGCGGGTAAAAGCAAGGCATAATGGAGGCATGTTTAGCTATTCAGAGTTGAGGAGGGGAGCCAGAAATTTTTCTTTTAACCTAAGTAAAAGAGAATTTCTTATAATATTGTGTATAAGACAATATCACACAGTATGTAAAATCAGGACTGCATAATTTCTCATCAGTTTAGATGGTATTTGATGGCTAATATAAATAATTCAACCACTAAGATAATAGTTATATTCTTTTTCTTCTTTTTCCTCTTTCTCCTCTAATCCTTCCCTGTTCCGTTCCCTTTATTTTTCTTCTTTTGCCTGAATTAGGGGACAGATTTAAAAAATGACAATAAAAGCTGTAATAATCTCCAACTGGAGTGAATTTATATTTACATAACTATGCTGTAAGCTTTGGGAAGGCAGAGAGCATGTCCTTCTCTAAAATTTTAGCATAATACCTGGAATACAGCCAATAATCAAATAAATGTTTGTTGAATGAAAGAATTGTTTAAGCATCAGTGAAGCAAAACGTATTCTTGATTCAGATTTCATACACTTGATGATTACTGAGTGTTTACCATGTGAACAAAACAGTTTTAGATGGGAGAATACAGACAGTAAGACTGATTAACATGTTAAAAAAAAAGAAAAACATAATTAACAAACATGACCATGTCCTTTTGTGCAAATATTATTGCAACATTCACTAAAATTGACCTTGCTTTAGAACATCTTCTATAATCATAATTTTATAAAATTTTAAATTGACCATATAAAGAGATTTAAGAAATTCTGTCCACTTGGAAATTACAAATAAAACACTCTAATTTCTGGATTAAAAAGGAAGTTGAAACTGAGATTATAAACTATTTAGAAATAAGGACACAACTTCTGTTTCCGACAAAAGAGTAGGATGTGCTGAAATACACCTGCTCTAAATACCTAAAATGGATTTCAAAAAATGATAAAAATAATTATAGATGCATGGCTGAGCTTACAAGGAATAAAGAAAAATATTTGGTTTCAAGAAGTGGAGAGATATTTAAGAGCCAGATTGATATGCACTTAATCTGGTATGGAGACAACCCTGGTGAGGTATCTGATAAGATCTGGTAACAGCTTTGGTTTTAAAGCCCAAGCAGAAGCAGATGAGTCCTTGGACACATGAGATAGAAAGATAGATTTGAAACATTACATATTTAAAATACATTAAAGAGAAAAGAAAGTATAGAACCACAAGAACAAGAAATTGTGTAAAAAACCAGGCTAATCTGAAAAAGAACTAAAGCCAATACCTAGAAATAAAATTATAGCTATTAAAATTAAGATCCCAGTGGACAAAAAATTAAGATCCCAGTGGGCAAATAGTATATGAGAACATCTGTAGAGAGAATTAGTGAACTGGAAGAGAGATTTGAGAAATTCCCAAAACTTAGGACACAGATAAAAATTTGGAAAATACAAAGAGAGAGAGGTATGACAGTCAGAATGAGAAGGCCCAATATACATATAATAAAAAAACTCAGTAATGTTGAGTCAGTTCTGACTCACGTGACCTTATGTGTTTCAGAGTAGAACTGTGCTCCATAGAGTTTTCAGTGATTGAGTTTTTTGGAAGTAGATCGCCAGGTCTTTCTTTCCAGGTGCCTCTGGGTGGACTTGAATCTCCAACCTTTCAGGTAGCAGCCAAGTGCATTAACAGTTTGCACCACCCAGGGACTCCGTATAACAGGCGTTTCCAAAGCCAAGAAAAGAGAAAATAGAGGTGAGACAATATTTGAAACATAAAGGCTGAGCATTTTTAAGAACTGATGAAAAGCATGACTTTTCAGTTTCAGGAATCACAAGAGTTAAGCAGGAAAAATGAAAAGAAGTCCATCCATACTTGGACACATAATGAAACTAGAGAACATCTAGAGATAGTATTAGAAGTTACAAGAGAAAAAGAGATTAACTGTAAAGAAACAATGAATAGATACAGATGACTTCTCAACAAAAATAGAGACCAGAAAACAGTGGATAAGTGAATATATATATATATTTGTATAGATTTCCTTCTATCTTTCTTACATTTTTAATTTAAATAAAATTTTTGTTATAAGTTAATTTTACAATTTAATCTTTAGGTGACAAAATATTAAGATAGTGCTGTGATTAATTTTGAGAAATAATAAATATATCCCAGAGATAGATAGTATGACTATTTCCCAGAGATGGAGACTTTGCTTCTCTTTATTCTGGGGAGAGGATGAGAACATTTAATTCATCTTTATTAGACTTTACATCTGATCCATCAGGAAATCCTATTCACTCTATTTTAAAAATATATCCAGAATCCAGCAACTTTTCATCATTTCCATTGCTTACCAACCTGGTTTGAGTCTCCATCATCTCTCCAAACCCCCCCTAAATAGTTTCCCAGCTTCCCCACCTCCCTCCAGTCTATTCTCAACACCGAATCCAGAAAGACCTGATTAAAACTTCACAGTATGCCTCTGCTCTAAACCCTGCAGTGGCTTTCCATTTCTCTCAGAAAAAAGCCCAAGACCTTACAAGGCTTTGGTGGCCCGGACTGATCTCACTACATTATCTTTCTCTTTCCATCTCCTATTACTTTTTTTCTTACTCAGTTTCAACTACTCTGGCCTTCTTGCTGTTCCTTGCATACTCCAGGCATGCTCCTACCATTGGGCCTTTGTCTCTGTGTCCTCATTGCTTGCAATATTCTTTTCCCAGAAATCCCCACATGGTGAAAACCTTTACCTCCTTCAAGTGTTTGCTCAATGTCACCTTTTCAGTGAGGCCTGATTATCTATTTAAAATCACAACTGTCCCCTTCCCTAACACATCCTGTTCTCCCAATCCCCTTTATCTTTTCTACCATTCTTTTTCACAGCATTATCACCTAACATACTATATAATGTACTTATTTATTATGTTTACTGCTTACTGATTGTTTCCCCTACTAGAATGTAAACTCCATGAGGGCAGGGTTCTTCTGCTCACTGGTATATCCTAAATACCTAGAACAATGCCTGGCATGTAGTAAATACTCAATAAATGGTTGCTAAATGAAGATATAGAGGAAAAAATATTGTGTTTAAAATATAGTTCCATATAAAACTTTAAGCTCACATAATATGATACTAACTGTAACACCTCACTCACCTGTAACACATTTAACTTTATCCATCAACACATTCAAATCAATCTTCCCATTATCTTTGAGACAAAAAAACATAAAAAGATTTTTGGAAAAATGACATAAAACCCTTAAATTATGAAACAGAAACCTAAAATTCAACCATTTAAAAGCATTTACCTAGAAGTTTATTATTTTTTCACATTAGATACTCATCAATTTAATTTCTATAGCTTCTGCTCTCTAGCCTATAAACTATCAAAATGCATACAGCACAGTGCTAGAGCAAGGTTTAAAAGCACTGTCCTTCCTTTGGGACAGTCTATTATCTATTAGGTTAGTCTTTCTTAGACAGGGGTCTGACACTTTTTGAAAATTAAAAAAAAATTGTTTAAAAATGGTGTTTCTATTTTTTCAGTGCCAACTCTACCTTTGGGCAATGATGTTTCCGTTTTTTCAGTGCCGACTTTACTTCTCGGCACTAAGCGATCCCCTAAGAGGACAGTGTGTTGGTATGCATGTCTGGCTGCTCTTAGGTTGCCAAAATGATAATCATCATGTTAAAGTCCCAGTTACGATGACAAAACTTGTTTTGCAGTGACCATTCTCAAATGAAAGGCATTTTCATAGCCCATGAACTTAGTTTCTTTAGGTAGTATTTCTCAAATTAAAGTCTGACGCCTCTAGAGGTCCACGGACACATTTTAAAGAATTTGTAAAATTGCAAGTTTGAGAAACATTGACTATCTTACCCTGAGGGTGAGATACCAAGAATTACTTTGTACTCCCACCATTACCCAGCCTTTAGTTTAATAGTTTGGACAAGATTGATGCTCCATAAATGTTTACTATATTATTAAGTTCTAGCAAAATGCAAACATATTATAGAGAATGAATTAACCTTAAAACCAGTATATATTCCAGGGTCTTAGATGCAGAATTTATCCTTGTTTGTTCTTTTTTTGTACACTTTCACTTACGCCAATCTTTTACTGGTATTCTTTTAAAATTTTTACTTTACAATCTCTTCTTGTCATTAATATGATTATTGTTATATGATAACTTTTAAATAGGATGAAGAAGATCTTTTATTGGATAAAAGTCTGTGCCTGTAAAGGATAGATGCCATAATGTCCTTCACTTTCTGTGTCTCCAATTAGCTCCAATGAGGTCCTTTGGGCCCCTGAAGTATATTCCATTCTATCTGCAAATGATTCCACAGATGTATAAGGTAGTCCACGAGGATTAGATCGATAGCTTTACACTTTACATCATTGTGCTGATATCTTTTTTCCCCCCTTTTGTTGCCAACCCCATGACATGTCAACACTCTCCCCTTTTCGACCTTGGGTTCCCCATTACCAGCTTTCCTGTCCCCTCCTACCTTCTTGTCCTTGCCCCTGGGCTGGTGTGCCGATTTAGTTTCATTTTGTTTTATGGGCCTGTCTAATCTTTGGCTGAGGGGTAAACCTCAGGACTGACCTCAGTACTGAGTTAAAAGCGTGTCCAGGGCCATACTCTCAGGCTTTCTTCAGTCTCTGTTAGACCAGTAAGTCTGGTCTTTTTTGTGAGTTAGAATTTTGCTCTGCATTTTTCTCCAGCTCTGTCTGGGACTCTCTACTGTAACCCCTGTCAGAGCAGTCGGTGGTGGTGGTAGCTGAGCAACATCTAGTTGTGCTGGACTCAGTCTGATAGAGGCTGTGGTAGTTGTGGTCCATTAGTCCTTTGGACTAATCTTTCCCTTATGTCTTTGGTTTTCTTCCTTGTCTCTTGCTCCAGACAGGGTGGGACCAGTGGAGTATCTTAGATGGCTGCTCACAGGCTTTTAAGATCCCAGACTGTGCGGGTATCTTTTCTCATGTTCCAGGATACCATGAAAACAGGAGAGCCACAACTATGTAGATTGCATTGGTAGATTAAAAGAACTATGAATAGGATTTAAAAACTGAAGAAAAGTCATTTTTGGAAAAAAACTATTTACCTCTTATTAGGGCAACAGTCCCAAGGGCCTAGAACAGTGCCTGGCACATCATAAGCATTCAATTAAAGTTTATGGAATCAAAGAACAAAAGGTGCTGCTGATTTTGAAAAACATTTACTTGGTTTAATCTTATATTTTTATTACTTCCTTAAGGCGTCAGATGCCCCTCAAAATTTTCTGATGAATTTTTCTCAGTTCCACTAGCATGAGACAAGTTTAACATATTACAAGTTTAATTAATTCCATTGGTAAAATTACTATAAAACCCATTGCCACTGAGTCTATTCAGACTTATAGTGACCCTATAGGACAGAGTAGAACTGCCCCATAGGGTTTCCAAGGAGCAGCTGGTGTATTCAAACTGCTGACTTTTTGGTTAGCAGCCAAGCTCTTAACCCTTGCATCACCAGGGCTCCAACATTACTATATACCTTCTTAAATTTGTTATTCTAGTAGTTCATGGCAGTATAATGTAATAGCTAAGAGACAGTTTCTGGAGTCAGATTGCCTCAGTTCTTTTTCTAGTTCCACCACTTACTAGCTCTCTGATTTTGGACAAGCTACTTGACTTCTTTGTGCCTTAGTTTCCTTATAGATAAAATGGGGTAAAAATAGAACCTACCTTAGAGATGTGTTTGCAAGATTCCAACAGTTGATATATGTAAAGTGCTGAGTATAGTGTCTTGTACATGTAAGGACTATGTAAATCTTGGTCATTGCTATTTAATTCTAGACCAACAGGAGGGACTCAAAGATTATTATCCTGAGTATTCTTGCTAAACTTTAGTGTTTCCTATGGTATTACATGGAGGGTGACACTTGCTATTTGTGTTGGGCAGCATCTTCGGTGATCCTTCCAAAGTGGTAGCCACTGGGCTCAGTTTGGTAGCTATGGTGAAAACCTTATTCTTTATTTTTCTCCCTTTCATATCTATCTTATCTTCAGTCATTCCAGCCCTGATACTAGCCTCATACCTAAAATTTTCCTAAGAAGTATATTAATATCCAAGACTCTCACCATCAACCGCTAGGTCATCCTTCAATTCCTGGACTTCTTTCTCCTTGAGATCAATTCCCATGTTTTCCATGAAATTTCCTATCTTACTTGATGACACCTTCATTCCTTAGGAAAGAAGGCGATAGAGATGAGAAATATTTGTATGATGTAAACAGTGGATCATTCTAGCTCATGCTTAGGCATCAATATTGTATAGAGAATGAAGAGCAAAGAACAATTAAAATATTCAAGTAAAAATGGTTTTTTTGGCTAAGTCAGGAATCCTACACCATGACCCAAGGGATTCTGTTATGGCTTTTAGGAGAAACTTTTAAAAGAAAAAAGAGAGGAGTTAGACATGTCTCTTAAGTCATGGCAAAGGCCAAAATCACTCTTTATAAATGTGTCTAGATAGTAGGATTTGAAATCTGCTAAATTAACAGAGGGCTATAAACCAGCAGTTCCCAAATGCCAGCCCAAGTGTTTATCATAACTCCCTGGGGAACCTTGAATAACATACAATTCTAGGAACTGTCTCTGAAAATTCAAAATCAATATGACCGGAAAGAGGTCTAGTGATCGGAACGCTAAAAAATTTTTTCCCCCTGGTGATCTGATGCCCAACTTTATTTGGGAACTACTGTAGTAAACCATCTTGGTGACTGTAGTGTATCTAAAGCATGTAAAGGATAAAAGTAATAAACAGTTGTGACAGCAGGGCTAATAATCTGAAAATTGTAAAAGAGGGAGAATTTTTAAAAACATGGGCAAAGCTCAAGGATCTCAGTTTTATCTGCCTTTTCATCATGCTTCTCACTCACCTTTGAGGCATGCCACTTCTTTCATCAATTTGTTCTTATATACCCTTCCTTTGGCTGTAAGACAGGGAAAAATTCTAGTCTCAGATATTTAAAAGTAGTACAGAATATTCATAATTTCAGAAACATAGACTTTTGAATATTTTATCCCAGAAACATAGACTTTTAAATGTGTTTTTTCATAGACTTTTAAATATTATATTACTTCACTTTCAAGAATAAAACTCACTAATGGAAAACACTCTTGTTTGGTAAATCTATCATTGTGGTGGTGGACAGGAGAATGTAAGGGACTACTAGGCACAAAAGTCTATATTCTCCGCCTTCCTTGAAGCCTACTCTAATAGTTTTAATGCTCACCATCAACTGGCAGATTGTTCAGTAGTTCCATGCCTTTATCTTCTGTGAGCTCTATCCCAATATTTTCCAGAAAATTTTCCAGGTTATTAGTATCAACCTTCTCACCTTTAAAAAGTAAAAAGTAGTAATAGTTGAAAACTGGAATAATGCTGATTCTATATTACAGAAAATCTTACCCACGGCTATGTAGTATCATTTCCAAACTCCTGGAATCATCACAGGGAATTTCAGCCTTTATATGGATAACCCATCCAACAACCGGGACTCCAAATTTCCTGACCTCTTTATCCTCAATGATTATTTCCTAAATTTGAAATTCATCACAGACACATCCTAAACCTTGTCATCACCTGGAATGCTTTACCTCTAAAACTTTAAATTCTAACATGCCAACTTCTGGCCAGAACCTCATATTCTTCCACTTCTTTTACTTCTTAACTCCTACCACACCCATTATAGTGTCTATAGGAACTTCATTCCCCCCACCCCCTTCTCACTTTTCTCCAAGTTCATAATTTCCATCATAACTTCACTTCCTTCCCTACTAATGCTAGCCACTTAACCATTCTCTTGGCTACACTTTTAACGTCTTTATGCTTTCATTCTTTTGGCACATCAGCCTTGAAAATCTCCTATCTTGGTCCAACTAAGGAATATCATATAATTATGTGAAAAGTCGTCACTACTTATTTATGATATCCTACCATGGTTAGACTCTTGGCAGTTCTCAGCATGGCTTCATGTATTCCTCATCAACTCTAGTTCCTATTCTCTACCAAAGTTAACCAAAATCATCAGCACTCTCCTCGAAGTTCCCTACCGCACCACTGTGCCATTTCTTTTAGTAGATGATTCTGTTTTCTATGTTACACAGAAAATTAAAGCTTTCAGTTAAATGCCTTTGAATTTTACTCCCACATCTACCTAGATTATCTATTTCTGCATCCTTCCTAACTTGAGGCCTACTTGACTCAAAAAAGAGGTAGTCTCAGATTCAGACTCATATACTCAACTACCTAGTGTTCAATTCCCCTTAGATGTTTCAGGAACTGCAAACTCAAAGTGACCAAAATGGAAACCATATCTTTCCTTCTAAATCTATTTTACCAAATTCCTTATTTTGATGAATGTCACCATCACCCACTCAACTACCCAACTCTACCAATCTCTACACCTGCCTGCGGTAACCAAATCCCATAGATTCTATAACTGTTTAACATCTCTTATAAACACCTTTTCCCCTCAATTCTCATACATAATGGTTTAGTTCTACTCTTTATTATCTTTTGCATGGACAGTTACATACATTTGCTTCATAGCTGGTTTCCCTGACTCTACTCTTGAACACACATTTCCAGCTATTCTCCATACTGCTGCTAGAGTAATCTCTCTAATTTGCAAATCTAATCACACTATTCTGCTTAAAATCCTGGAATGACTCCCCAATGCACACAGAATAAAATTCATATTATTTTATTTGGTATCCAAAGCCCCCCATGATTTCTCCCTGATTTTAGTTTCCTGTTGTTGCTGTAACAAACTGCCACAGACTTGGTGGCCTAGAACAATCCAGATTTATTCTCTTATAGTTCTGGAGGCCAGACGTCAGAAATTAATTTCACTAGGCTAAACTTAAAGTGTTGGCAGGGCTGGTTTCTTCTGGAGGCCCTAGGGGAGAACAAGTTTCCTTGCCTTTTACCACTTCTAGAGTCCACTTACATTCCTTGGCTCATGGCCTTTTCCTACATCTCAAAGCCAGTAGCATAGCATCTTGCTTCTGTTGTCACATTGCCTTCTTTTTCTGTCATCAAATCTTCCTCTTCTAAGGACACTTGTGATTATGTTTAAGACTCACCTGGATAACACAGGAAAATCTCCCCATCTCAAAATTCTTAACTTAATCACATCTACAAGGTTCTTTTTCCCCATATACAGTAACATTCACAGGTTTCAGAGATAAGGATGTAGATTTTTTTTGGTGCCATTATTCAGTTTACCACATCTTCTTCCTTACTCTTTAAGCTTACTCCTTGCCAAACTCCCAACAGCACTTCATGCTCCAGTTATGCCAAAAAAATTTCCATACTGTTTCTCATCTTGGTGCTTTTTATACCTTTTTCTTTATCAGGAATGTCCATCCTACCCTGCCTGTCTGGCTTATCTTTCAAGGATCAGCTCATGTTTTGCTCCTATTAAAATAAAGTCTTTCCCAATCTCTTTTCCTCAGGTGGAAGTGATCATTCTTCCCCTTCTTCACTTTGTATAGGCTTCTAACATAGCATCTATAACATTTTATTGCATTTATTTATATGTCTTTTTCCTGCCCCAACTATACAAGATCCTGGAAGGCTGGTTTTTGTAGATTTATACTTGGGACTCAATAAGAAGTTAACCCACCTGTAAAAAGATTCCCTTCATCCATTATCGCACTTGTTTCAACCATCCCTTCATCTGTAAGATAAGACAATTTTAGTCATAAGACAATCATAAGAAGAGAAAGAGAAGATACAAAAATCATACACTGAAGTAAAACACAAAATTCAGCACATTTTTATGCTCTCAAATTTTATCCTATTTTCTTTTCAAATGGAAATGTTGAAAGACAAAGCTCTGACTGTAAGAATACTTCACCCTTCTAACGTTTACTTTTTATTCTATTAAGATACTAAACGCCACATAGTAGAATGCTGAGCTGACATTTAAAAAGTAGCTGCCTCTACCTTGCCTGCTGCCCTACTTTCAGATCTGGGAGAACTCTGTTTTATTGATCATAAGGTTAGCAAACAACTTAAAAGAGGCAAATTCTCTAATAAGAAAGATTTGGCTTGGTGCATTAACAATGCCTATTTCTTTACTCAATCCACAGGTAACACTTAGCTGAGGTTGTCATTCTTCAACTAACCATACTTAATATTAAAAAAAAACTTTGGTCAATCTAATATATCTTTAAGAAAAAAAATTAAATTTTGGTTCTTAAAAATATCTTTATTTTGTATTTCTTTTAATGAGGTATTAGAGGTACAACTTGATAGATGGTCAGTGACTCACAGGAAGATGTTTTATCTATTCTCATGTTAGCCTGAAACAGATCTCTAATGCTACTTCCCGTGGGTTGACCTGAAAATTAGTACTCGGGGAGATGGATGACACTTCCACAACCAAACTCTTTGTTCTGGCATTCAAGTTAAGTTTCAAGACACATGGACAATGAACTAACTAGAAGTATCTACATCTTTTTATAGGTAGATCAAAAGTGCTGGGAAATATACAAGTAATAGAAAAAATGGAAAATTTACTTTCTTCTGATCAGGGCAAAGGCATAACTAGGTGGCACTGTGTTGAGATGAATGCATATTGGCTGTTACGCTACTAGTCAATGTTTACTATGTGATAAGCCCTATGCTAATAACTTACAACAATTATGAAAGGTAGCTATTATTTTATTTTAACAGAAGAGAATTAAGACTAGGAAGAATTCATTTGACCAACCTTGCACAGCTAAGACTTTTTAGAGGAGATATTTAAATCCAGGCCTAGCTGATTCCAAATTCTTTCCACAATGCCATATAATAAGTGGAACCAGTGGGATGAATCCCAGGATTTTGCTATTTTTCCCAAGAGAGCTATTATCTTGGAAAATTTTTCTAGTGGATACTTGTAGGTCCAACTATTATGAGGCCATGCTAACATATGCTAGGTATGATTGATATAAAGGCAAATTACTTTGGGTATTAGTGCTATTCTTCATCTGAAGTTTGTTGTTTTGTGTTGTTTACAATTTACTCTAGGTTAGCAAGTAGAACTCCTAGTCCAGAACCTCATCTGTTGGCTCATAGTGTCTGGATCTAGAAAAAGGTATTTTTTTGCCACAATTTGTCATTCATGTTGGCTTGGTATTTTGTGACTGCTCTGTAATTAATAACTACTGAGCTCAGACAGAGGAGCTGGTGGTACAGTGGTTATGGAGCTTGGCTGCTAACTGAAAGGTTGGTGTTTCAAACCCACCAGCAGCTCTGTGGAAGAAAGATGTGGCAGTCTGCTTCCATAAAGATTTACACCCTTGGAAACCCTATGGGGCGGTTCTATCCTGTCCTATAGTGTTGCTATGAGTTGGAATAAACTCAACGGCAATAGGTTGGGCTCAGCCAAATGAAGGGAGAGTAAAGTTGATTTCTTTTCATATACTGAGTGCAGTCTTTTAAACCTAGTCCTGATTTTCATCTCACATTTGCTATTTAAAATGTGGACATTATATATGTACATTAATGATAGCTCTACCAATTCTAATTTCTGTATTGTCATTTTTTTCCCGTCTCCCACTTTTTTTGTTTTTCTCTTAATACTATTTCCTCCTTATGCTATTTGCTTACTTTCAAACTTTTCCTATCAAATATTCCCTCCTTCTATTTATTTTTATGTATTTATTTATTTGTTTCTCCTTTTAGTCTGCTAAGGAGCCCTTGTGTCACAATGGTTAAGTACTCAGCTGCTAACGAAAAAGGTCGGCAGTTCGAACCCACCATCTGCTCTGTGGGAGAAAGATGTGGAAGTCGGCTTCCATAAAGATTATGGCCTTGAAAACCTTATGGGGCAGTTCTACCCAGTCCTACAGGGTCACTAGGAGTAAGAATTGACTCTATGGCAGTGGGTTTGGTTTGGTCTGCTAATATTTGCATCAGTGCTCTGGAACGTTGCTAAACTGTGCTAAATCTGTGGACTGCTAACTTCCTAGTTAAAGATAAATAATGGGTTACAGTATTCATTTGTAATCATCTTCATACATATTTCTAACTAAATGTCCTATTGTTGTTTGTTGTTAGGTGCCTTCGAGTCAGTTCTGACTCATAGTGACCCTATGTATAACAGAATGAAATAGTGCCCGGTCCTGCACCATCTTCACAATCATTGTTATGCTTGAGCCCATTGTTGCAGCCACTGTGTCAATCCATCTCGTTGAGGACCTTCCTCTTTTTCACTGACCCTGCACTTTACCAAGCATGATGTCCTTCTCCAGGCACTGATCCCCCCTGACAACATGTCCAAAGTATGTGAGACATAATCTTGCCATCCTTGCTTCTAAGGAGCATTCTGGTTGTACTTCTTCCAAGACAGATTTCTTCATTCTTTTGGCAGTCCATGGTATAGTCAATATTCTTCGCCAACACCACAATTCAGAGGCGTCAATTCTTCTTCGGTCTTCCTTATTCATCGTCCAGCTTTCGCATGCAATATCAAACTCAACATGTCTAAAACTGAAACTACTATGTTGACATTGTAACCTGAACCTCTCTAATTCTCTAATTGGCTTATGAGATGACTGATGACTCACTCATACACTAAGAGATCTCTGTCTTCTTAAAATTTTTCTTCTTTTTCATAACTCACGCTTCATTTGTCCCCAACTCCTATTAAAACCCAAAACCAAACCCACTGCCACTGAGTCGATTCTGACTCATAGCGACCCTATGTGACAGAGTAGAACTGCCCCACAGGGTTTACAAGGAGCAGCTCGTGCATTTGAGCTGCTGACCTTTTGGTTAGCAGCTGAGCTCTTAACTACTGCACCACCAGGGCTCCCAAGTCCTATTAATTTTAATTCTAAAATCTTCCCTAAATCAATGTCTTATCCATCTTCAAGTTTACTTCCATTTCCCAGGCCCTCATTATCTCTTACTGGACCATAGCAATATCTTTCAAATTTGAGTCTTTGCTTCCAATAATGCCCTCTACATTGCCATCAGCATTGACTTTCCAAAACAGAAATACTCTAGATATACCGCTGCTTATACCACAGGATGTAGGTTAAAATTGAAGGGAGAAACAGACAATTCAACTATAATAGTTGAAAAATTCAATATCCAACTCTCAAAAAAGAACAGAACAAGTAAATAAAAAATCATCAAGGATAAAGAATATTTGAACAACATTATCAACCAACTTGGCCTAGCTGGCATCTTTAGAAAACTGTACTGAACAATAGTAGAATATATATTCTTTTGAAGTGCTCGTGGAACATTCTCCAGAACAGACCATATGCTACTACGTAAAACAAATCTCATTCAGTTTAAAAGGACTGAAATCATACAAAGTCTCTTCTCTGACCACAATGGAATTAAATTTAAAATCAACAGCAGAAGGAAATTTGCGAAATTCACAAACGTTTGGAAATTAAACAACACATTTCTAAATACCCCATGGGTAAAGAAGAAATCACATGAGAAATTAGAAAAAATTCTGAGCTGAATGAAAATGAAAATACAACATATCAAAATTTATGGGATACACCTAAAGTAGTGCTTTGAGGAAAATTTATAGCTGTAAACATCTATATTATAAAAGAAGGAACATCTCAAATCAATAATCTAAGCTTTCACCTTAAAATCTAGAAGAAGAACAAACTAAACTCAAAGTAAGCTGAAGGAAGGGAATAATAAATAATGATCAATGAAATGGAAAACAGAAAAATAATAGAGAAACTTGATATTGGTTCTTTGAAAAGATCAACAAAATTGACAAACCTTTAGCTAGACTGAGTAAGTAAAACAAGAAAAGACACAGGTGACCAAAATTAGGAATGAAAGAGGTTATATCACTGCCAACTTGGCAGAAATTAAAAGGAATATAAGGAAATACTATAGCAACTTCAGGAGCCCTAGTGGAGCAGTGGTTAAGAGCTCAGGCTGCTAACCAAAAGGTCAGCAGTTTGAATCTACCAGCTACTCCCTAGAAACCCTATGGGGTAGTTCTACTCTGTTCTATAGGGTCATTATGAGTCGGAATTGACTTGACAGCAATGGTTTTCGTTTTTTTTTTTTTTTTGGTTTTATAACAACTTCAACAAATTAAACAACTTAGATGAAATGGATAAATTCCTAGAAAAGCACAAATTACCAAAACTGACTCAAGAAGATGATGGTTAAACTCTATAGTCTGGTTATATTAAAGGGCCTTCCAGTCTTGACAGCCTACCTTTCTAGCCTTGTTTCCTGTCACTTTATAACATAAAGAGTACATGCTAGTCACAAGGAAATACCTGATGCTTTCCTAATATTCCATGACTTTGTATGCATTATGCTTTTGTATGCATTGTTTTCCTTATCTGGAATGCTTCTTTTCTACACATCTTGACATACGTTTTCCTGATCCTCTTCTTGGCAAACTTAGCTGTTTGCCCCTTTAGAACTTCACTGAACGATTTTTTAGTGGTGTAGCACTATCATATAGTATTATGGTGACATGTCAGCATATAAGCCTCTCTAATTAGACTTTGAACTCCTAAAGGACAGAGAACCTATCATCTTCATTTTTATATTCCTAATAGCTAGTGTATATTAGGCACTCAACAGAATCCACTGCATGAATTAATGAATTCGTGAGGATTAGGCCCTTCTTTCTCTGTTGTTTTATGCTTCTACACAACTCTAAGTGTACTTTAGAAATTCTCAGATGAATCCAGAGTTTCACTGAAGGAGTAGCTCACCATCAATGGACAGGCTGTTCACCAGGTCTTCGTATTCATCCTTCTCAAGCTGAAAGCCCATATTTTCTACGAAGGGTGCTAGCTTATCAACGCTAAGCTTCACTCCTTAGGAAAAAGGGGATGGAAACGAGAAAAGCAATGACAAAGTGAAAAATGCTAGGCATGCCCATGCGTTAATTAGAGGGTGAACAATCAAAGGAACAATAAAAGTTTAAGTGAAAAGAGCTATCATGGGAGTCTGAAAAAGAACCTGCTCCCTCATTTTTGTCAAAGGGTCTGATTATAGCTCTCATGAGACATTTATAAGGAAGGAACTAAAGTTAGGCTAGTTTGGAGAATTCTGGCAAGATAATGCCTTTATAATTCTAATCAGAATATAGGACTTAAAACGCAGTGATAGAATAAAAGATCATTTTTTCAAAGATAGTTATGTTTAAAGAAGGAAATTATGAAACAAAAACATTGACTAAATACATTAGATTGATAAATTTATCATCACCAACAAATAAGAGTGGTTTTTAAAAAGTAAATACAAAACATAGAGTCTCAGTTTTACCTGATTTCTCACTCACCTTTGAGAGACTTTATGCCATCTAGCAACTTATGCGTATATAACTTTCCAGCAGCTATAAGATAAGACATGACACGGGTAAGTGGTAAGGATAAGATAATTTAAAAATCAGCAATTTCAGAAAGTGCAATTCTTATAATTTTACTCAAAAAAATTTCCTATTTATATCTCAAGTAAGAATTAGACAAAGCATGGGAGAAAGCTCATCAGATAGTAAATCTAGCTCCTTTTTTTATGACAATCAAAAGAATTATTAGTGGTACTTTGCCATGCCTTTCTCATATCTCTCTTTTCTTCTGATTTTTCCATTCCTACCCCTCTTTGCTTAAGATCACATATATTAATGTTCCCAAGGATAACATTAAATATTGTGGGACTCATGGGTGAAGAGATTGCTGGATTCTTGAGCTAAAATATCTGAAGACCATGACAGGATTTCTTTGAATGTTAATATTGTGTATTTCTATATAATTTGCACATGATATCAAATGGGTATGATTTTAGATATTTTCATTGATAAGCCCATAAAAATAAACTCCTCTCCAAGATAATGTCTTAGTGAGAATGTCATCTGTTGCCATCATAGGCTTCATGTTTTACAGAAATTCAAATATTGGTTTCTATTCCTATACAGATGGTGAACTAGCATATATTGCTGGCTCCACCCTGGAGAAACTGAAGTCTGAGTGGAAACTTAGATTTTGGGAACAAAGTATAAACCCTGGGGAAATGGAAAGCTGTACTTTCGTGTGTGTGTGGGGGCGGGGGAGTGTATGTGTGTTTACAGCCAAGGGTGAAAGGCTGGTAGAGGTGGCAATCAGAAGACCAATTGGGGAAGCAGTTTTTAAAATTTCTGCCTTTGCCTTCCTGTACTATAACTTTGAGCTTACCATGCCTACCTCTTCACTACAGAAAGCAGCAGGAAAAGCCTAGGCCATTAGAGCAGGCATCTGGAAGGTAACATCAGGGCAGCACATAAACCCTTCAGGAGCTAGGCTCTAATGTAAACAGGTACAGACTGACAAGCTGCCCTCAGGCATCTTATCCTCTACCCTTAGGCCTGGTGGATCACAGTCTAGAGAGACTGCATTCTTCCCATTCTATTTCTCCATAAGAGTATAAAGGTGAAACTGTGACCAGAGATGGTACTTGGAACAGCATCAATTCAGGAGAATGATCAGTGGTGCTTGGGTATCTCTGCCCTAGGGTTCATTCCCTTGCTTCTCCTTAAGCCCAAAAGAGCTGATGCAGACTGGAGCCTGGCCTTGGGCCCTTACCTAAAGCACATTTCCAACCACAGTACTGATACCTCCAAGAGAACAAGGGATCAAGGACCAAAATAACTTGTTATCTAAAGAGTCAACTACCTCAAAAGAAAACAAACTGAATAACATGTAACATTTGAATCAGAATTATTGGAAAAGAAGGATCAGGACTTTAAGATAAGAATGATAAATACATGTGAGGACGTGAAATGATATTAGCAAAATGTAATAGGAACTATCAACTATAAGAAGAATAAAGTGGAAATATTAGTTATAAAATATAGTTGAACTAAATAAACAGTAGATGAGATGGAGTAGAATGGAAACAGCTGAAAAGTTAATGGATTGAATAGATTGAGGAACTCTCTTAGATGGCAGCAGAAAAGAATAAAGAGATAGAAAACTATAAGGTATGAGAATAGGAGTAGAAATGCTATCTCTGGATAACAGAAGTTCCAGAAGGAGAGAAAAATAAAAACAGAAGAGAAAAATATTTGAATAAAAAAAATAAAATGTCCCGGATTAAAACAAGATGAAGGAGCCCTGGTAGCTCAGTGGTTAAAAGCTTGTCTCCTAACCGAAAGGTTGGTGGTTTTAACCCACCCAGTGGCTCCGTGGGAGAAAGACCTGGCGATTTGCTTTTGGAAAGATTACAGCCAAGAAAATCCTATGGGGCAGTTCTACTCTGTCCCAGTGAGTCAAAAATTGACTTGACGGCACCCAATAACAACAAAGCAAGATGAAAGACTTTATATTAAAAGGTTTCATAGAGATTCAAATAGAAGAGAGAAGGAAAATTCCAAATCTAAACACATTACAGTGACTTCAGAAACATCAAAGAAAAGATAAAATTCTAAAATTCTTCAGAGAGAAAAGTAGGTCATCTAGAAAGGAAGAAGAATCAGATTTACATCAGATTTCTCTACAGTAATTTTAGATGCAGAAAAGCAATAGAGTAATATTATTTGAAACGTTAAAAGAAAGGAACTTTGAATCTAGATACAAATAGTCATTTAAGCATGAGGGCATACGAAAAACACTTCCAGGCCTTAGGGATTTAAGATTCACTACACAGAGACCCATATTAGAAATACATTTTTTAGGATTATGAACTTTTTGAGTGCAAAGACCCTGTTTTATTTTGAGCAGTAAGACTCTGGCATGTATCTTCATATCTCCTGAATCTAGAAATGTATGTAAAATATAGAAATTATTTAATAAACATGATTGTTTGTTCTTTAAAATATCTAGTAACTAACATCTTTATCTTGTATTTTAAATATTTAAAAAAACATATTTATATTTTCACATCCATTTTTTTTGATCCTTACAATCATCCTCGTAGATAGGCATTATTACTATCTGCATTTCACATGTGGATTATATTTAAACAACTGATTAGTCTTACTCAAATCAATAATTTATTAATCCACATATTGTGAGTACCACTGTGTACTCTGTACTGTATCAGCATGAAAGTATACATGGTGCCCCAAATTTGCCATGTTGGCTAGACCTCTGTGCCTTTTTTTTTTTTTTAATTCTTTCCATCTCCTACTGTCAAACCTTTCAGGCCCATTTGAAATAATATCCACTCAGTGAAGCCTCAGAGTCTCTAGGCATCATTAGTCAACCTATCTTTTGTACTTTCATAGCAGTACATCTCTATTAATATTACAACACTTATCACAATGTGCAGTGGGTTTTTTTTGTATGTGCTCTCCATCTCTACATTGAATTCTTTTAAGATCTGGACTTTGTCTTATTCATCTTTGTGAATCAGAGTCTGGCATAATGTCTAGTACCTAATGGCAACGAATGAACTTTTTTTTGCATAGGTGAATACCCCATTGGTAGCTAAATGCTCACCATCAATTGGCAAACTTTTCATCAACACGGAGTTTTCTTTCAGTTGGAGTCTTAACCCTATGTTTTCCAGAATATTTTCCAGGTCATCATAGTTAACTTCATTTCCTTAAAAAAGAAAACAATGGTAAAAAGTAAAATTTAAAACTTTAAATAACAAAAAATCAACTATGTCTGTGTGGCATCACCCTCAAATATAGGATAAAAATGTAGGATAAAAAGCAACAGAAACATTGAGCATTGTCTAATTACACAGAATTAGAAGGAGGATTCAGAAATAGAACTTTTGGTAAAAGAGAGCTCTTCAATGTCGGGAACACAGCACACAGAAAGTTGTGGGCTCTATAACAGTCCATTAAATTAGCTGGTGTATACAATTCTTTCAGCATGCAATATCTGCTCTATCCTTTTATTTTGCCGGTATTATGAGCTTGTTCACAATGATCATATTACCTGTATGTGTAATTTACTTTGCCATTTTCTATTAGAACAGGAGAAAAATAAATATACTCGAGAGACTCTAGAGCTTGTTATTTAGGCATTACATGGTACCCACTTCTGTCCAGTGATTTCGACTAATAGCAACCCTATAGGACAGAGTAGCACTGCACCATAGGGTTTTCAAGGAGCAGCTGGTGGATTCCAGCTGCCAACCTTTTGGTTAAGCAGCCGTAGCTCTTAACTGCTGCGCCAACAAGGCTCCACAAAGGTAACAGGAAATACTTTAAAATACATTTTTTCGGTTAAGCATTAAGAGCTCATTTTTAATATGCTTCCCCATTATTTCTTCTCACTCACCTAGAAATTCATGAACTTCATCCAGAAGTGCATTCAGTTTAACTCTTTTCTTGTCTACAAGACAAGACATGATTTAGATAGAGTCTCAATTACATAAAATTCTTAAACTGTGAAGTATAGGGATTTAAAAATTTAATAATTTTCTAATTAGACTTTTGATTTTCAGTCCATATAGGCAAAAAGCAGAAAAAGGAAAAGAATCTAAATATGATAAACACATTTATTCTATTCATTCAACTTGTCCTTTTTTGTTCCTTATTCATTGATGTGGAAGAGAAGAAAAAGAGGAGAAGAAAATGTTTTCATTTTTTAAATCATCAAATATTTGTTGGGTGCCTACTGTGCCAGGCCTTGTTTTCAGTGCTGAGGATACAACAGTAAACAACACAAAGTCTCTGTTTCAGTGGCAGTACATAATCACTAATGTCAAAGGAATCACTGAGTTATGAACCATTTCAGACCCAACAACAGAGCACTGCATTGAAATGTAAAAATCTATTTCCTCCTAATTATTGAAAATGTTTTTAATATACCTACTGTTGTTTTTGGATCCCTTTGGTTTACTGGCATTTCTTTGTTTCTTTGATTGTATTTTTGAAACTCAGTTCTTGGTAATTTTGCAGAGGCAAACTCCAGTAATATTTATTTTGAGACATTCAGCTGGACTGACTGCCCTCTAGATAATTTAGGGTGGGGCCATATTCCAGTTCCAACAGGACATTTACATAGTCTTGCTTGGCTCGTATGAGACACAGAGTTATGAAAAAGGGTTAGGGGTTGGGCAGGAATTAGGAGACCACTTTTTGGCAAGCGGAAAGTTTAGTGACTTCAAGCATGATCAGATCATATTAGATAAGCTTAGGTAAACCAGCACTTCTGGGATGCTTATTAAACCATTAATCAGTCTACAGCATCATCTCAAGGCACAGTCACAGAGTGTTTTCACAAGATTCTGTTGCTAAAGATTATGCAAAAATCTATGAATTCCAAAAAATGTACTAATATATATTTTTTCTCTGTATTGTTAAGGTTAGCTATTCAAAAAAAATTAAGTGTAGGGAGAGTTGATTAAGTGAAGATTCATTGGCTCTACCAAGACTTTCTTGATCAGAATCTTGAGAGAGTAGGTGATTTGTACGCAATCTACAGTTTGAGACCTTTTGAGACCTTTATTAAATGTAATTCTTAGATATAGGATGTACATAGTTTACATAGTACAAATAATATTTAACAATTTCTACTACTTTTAACCCTTATTTCTGTTTGTTGCTCTATGATTTCATTCATAATTTTCTCCTCTCTCCCCTCAAATATTCTTTTTTTTATTGTTGTAGTTTAAATGAAGTTTACATTTCAAGTTAGTCTCTCATACAAAAATTTATACATAGTTATGTGACCCTAATTGCTCGCCCCATACTGTGACAGCACACTCCTCCTTTCCACCCGATTCCTCATGTCCATTCACCAGCTCCTAACCCTCTCTGCCTTCCCATCTCACCTCCGAACAGAAGCTGCCTGTTTAGTCTCTTGTATCTACTTGAGCTAAGAGGCACACTCCTCATGAGTATCACTTTATGTCCCACAGTCCAGTCCAATCCCTGTCTGAAGAGTTAGCCTCGGAAATTGTTTTAGTTCTGGGCTGACAGAAAATCCGGGGGCCGTGCTTCCCAGGGTTCCTCCAGTCTCAGACCATTAAGTTCTGCACCCCACCTTTCTCCTGCTCCGTCAGGGACTCTCTGTTGTGTTCCCTGTCAGGGCGGTCATTGGTGGTAGCCGGGCACCTAGCTGGTTCTGGTCTCAGGCTGACGAAATCTCTGGTTTATGTGGCCCTTTCTGTCTCTTGGGCTACTACTTTCCTTGTGTCTTTGGTGTTCTTCATTTTCCTTTACTCCAGGTGGTTGGGACCAATTGATGCATCTTAGACGGCTGCTTGCGAGCTCTGAAGACCCCAGACGCTGCTCACCGAAGTGGGATGTAGAACATTTTCCTAATAAGCTTTGTTATGCCAATTGATCTAGA